CATATTATTAGCAATCTGTACAACATCCTATATAAAATTTTCATGCATATTTTAAATATTTGCCAAAAATTAATATATGTAACGAGTTACCAGCTATAAAAACCGTTAATATACACTCAAGACTTTCTTCTATTTTCCACATGGCGGCGGACAATTCATTCCACATGGCGGTTCACAGGATCCGCATGGTGGTTCACAACAATGCGGCAAACAACGAATGGCAAAGCGCTCACTTGCTGACTCTTCCACCAGTGAAACTCTTGATACTGGTCTCAATTCCACATCTCGACTTTTTGGCTTATCAAATAATGCCTCTTTATCCGTAAAATTTTTTTTTAATAAATTTGCAGCCGGTAGAACAACACCTTCAGATGACGAACCAACAGCGACAGAGTCTGTTACTGATAAGTTTGTCCCATTTTTCTCTACCTTGTTCTGCTCACTTTCCACTAATTCCATACCATTTTGCAACTTCATCGGTTCTGGTTTTTTACCTTTCCTTTTTCTCAATCCGTCACCTCCGTAAGCTACAAGCGCTTCTTCCTGTATTGCTGCCAAAAGCCTGCCCCATAAGCTGTTTGGCGGTATATCTGGGTCATTACCCGGTGATATATAATGATATCTGTACTTGAAACACTCGACCACTGGAATACAGGCCCCATCCCCTGCACGTACAAATCCTTTGCTTCTTATACATTCGCATCTTCGAGGTTTACAGCTATCAGTGCACGATGGATCAACCTGCAAAAATAAGTTTTGTAAACAAAACTGTACTGCAGTTCAGTTCTTCAAATTACCAATCAAGCAGTCTCTGAAGAAACTGTGCTGTTTACCAGTTAAACTACAGTTGTCTCATTAAATTTGCTCCCTTTTTTTAAATGAAATTATAATTTACGGAAAAAAAAAAGGAAGTGTGGAAAACAAGAAAAATATGACTGTTGTAATAATGATTGTGTGCTCATTTTTTTGCTAAGAACACTAATGTCTATCCGTTTCTCAAGTTAATACTGTTTAGTTTTAGACACCTTGATACAACAGTGCAACATTTCGGAGAACAAAACAGAAACCTAGTTGTTCACTTCATATTTAAAGAATTAAATTGAATTCTTGCAACAAAAAACAGTGAAATTTCTCTTCTGTGATCAGGCGGCCTTAACTGTACATCTGGTGATATTGCCAGAATTTAGAACTGTCCTAAATAAATTTTTGTCATGAACTTCCTGTGAAAAACACTCTTCTGATCTAACTAGACAACTATGAATGATGGACCAATTGTAATCACTTTAGAAAACTGACAGTAAATCAAGTTGAAACGATCACATTTCGGCGTAAATAATCACTTCTTTTTTTTTGTTTATAAGTAGTGTTTATTACTGAAAAATTGTTTCTTTCGTTAAGCTCTTCCAAATCTTTTGCACAACAGGTTGCCTAGAAAATATGATGTGACCAACAACAAAAACTTTACAGATGACACGCAGCAAAAAAATTTTATTATAACATAAAAGCCAAACTATAGGATTATTGCAAGTCGCTTCGCAACCGCCACATTCAACGATTTCTTCATTATACTGACAATCCGCCTGCACCACATCAGCTTTCACCAAATGTATCAATGTAATGATAACGGCCACCAAAAACCACCACTGCAATGACAGGAACCAACATTTCTGAGGATCGAGAAAAAATTGAACAAAACAAGAAAAAAAAAGTGAAGGATGAATGTCTCCCAATGTTGATTGATCATAAACGCTCTTTCCAATTTTTTTTTTTTTCTTTTTGGCATGATCTGAAATTTTGCATGTTGTCAACCCCCTTTTTCCTGCCTGTAACCCTGTCTACCATTTATTGGCAATTTGATCATAAAAATAAAAAATTATGATTTATTATTCAGCTTGAGAGAGATCTGTGAAGAAAAAAATATAGCAAAAGTGAAATGAAATGAAAAGAAAATGTAAGCACAAAAAAACAACGATGACATCTCATTTCCTCCGAATTTTTCAAAACAGTATAAATAGAAAACTTTTCCAGTTACCGAATCAACAACAACAACAACAAAATAAAAGAACATACCATCTAAGAAAGTTTCAAATGGTGTAACGAACACAAATTTAATTTCACCGCAAACTGTCTTTGCAGTCGACGAACAACAAAATAATCAATGAAAATCTTTTACGCTAAAACAGATTTCCTGCTACTTTTTCTTTCACTTTTTCACTCCAATTTTTGTTTTAAATGTATTAATTTCCTTCAAAAATTGAATTCTTGTTTTCTAGTTCTTTAAAATAAGAAACAAAAATTGGGGAGAAAAATGAATTTCAGAATATATTTTCTCAAATAGACAAATGATGAACAAATAAACAACTAAACAGGTGTAAATACAGGTACCCTTGTTTATTTATCTATTTATTCATTCCTTTACACATAAACCACTAACAAGGTATAAACTCACATGTTTAGTTGAGACTCAAAAGGTATTAGGCCAGAATACAAGTCGATCATAGAACAGACCATAAAAGTTTAGCGAGAAAAAAAAAGCAGACTACATAATCTAAATTAAGTCACTTTGAAGTTTACCCAAAAATTTTCAACAGTAAGAAAATGACCATGCCTAATACTTGAGAATAAACTTTATAGTCAAAATACCACAAGATCAAACTCGATTACACTTTAAGATTCACAGTTATCATTTAACTAACTACTCACTTAGCCTGTAAGATAAATGCCCACACAGTAGC